ATTTTTCCTTTTTTTATTTTGCATTTCGCTTCACTGTACCGTTATTTCCAATGTCCGTCGGCCTTTAATAAGCGAAAAAAAAAATATATCGTATTTTTCTCTAATCTTGATCGGACCAACCATGCCTTTAATTGGTGGATAATAAACACAAACATCGTTCGCTTTCAATTTTAGTTAATTTGTATGGGGGATTATTATGTGCACAACCCAAGAGGATCGCCTTTTATTTGGATTTGTTTTCCTAAGAAATCCATGTTTTATATTTCGATAGTTGTATGTTTTGAAATATCTCACTAATTTTCCATCAGTTGATAAAGTTAAATTTCAAAAGGCATAGGAAAATAAAAAGTCAAAAAAGAAAAAAATATTTCACAGCATTATATACAGCTTTTACCGACAACAAGGTTTTTTTTTTTTTCCAAACCGACAACAAGGTTAATGATCCCATTAGTGGAAGATTTTCCTTATTTTTTTCAAATTCGAACAGAGTAAATAAATGCCAATTCAAGCAGGAAAATGTTTCCTTCCGGGAAACTCAGATTTAGCTCGATAATTGCAAATTATTAATGATCACATTTATTAATAAATCTTGCCCACTTATAAATGACAAAAATGCAAGTAGTTTAATTCCCCAAAAGAAGAAGAAAAAAGAAAGCAAAAGAGTTTCTCGTTACCTAAGAGGTAAGTGCAAACCAGCAGCATTTCACGCCAAATTAGATTATTTCCACATGAACCCATTTTTTGGCAGTCCACGGATGACGTCATAAATCCATTAAAAACCGTCATGAACATGGCAGGCTATCATTCATCGGGACGAGCATTAAGTGTCCTCACCTCCCTCGTATTTATTTTATTTGTCATTCATGCATGCATGCAAAAACATTGGATTTGCGGACGTTAAATTGGTCGCGACCTTCGCGCACTACATAAGTTATCACCCTTTTTTTGGAGGCCCATTTTCTGTCCAATCACAATGGAAGATGGCCCAACCAATTGAACCTTCCCCAAAAAGGAAAAAATTACATAAAAACGATTGTCTATATACATACAAAGATCTATCCATCATCATGCAAATCGTAACCATCTGTATGTGCGCGTATCTTGATCTCGAGCTACTTCTGTCGAACAATATATCGCATCATTAGAATGTTAGAGAGAGACATAGAAGCAAACGGAATGCTCTATGTTATATACGTCGTCTTCTACCCCAAACGCGTCGTCTAAACATTAGTATTGCTGGCGAGATGATGAAGATGATGATGATGAAGAAAGAGTTTGCTGCATGTCTTGTTTAGTGCTTCTTCTTCAACGTTGTGTATGTCATATGATGAGCAGCGTCGACGATGAGGTCGATCAAGTTTTCCATTGAAGTCTTGGAAACACTGCGTTTCCTCCAGTTTTTTTTTTTTAAATCTTCTGACAGGAGAAAGATTTGTGACTAGGGAGAGAGAGAGAGAGACGGCAACATGGATTCATGAACATTTATCAGACAATAGTGTACTTGCAAAACCGTACATTTTCTTTCTGTCTGAATCAAAGCATCTAATTCCCAACTAGATTTCGCGTGGGTCGAGTCGAGTTGGCTCTCGATGTCATTACTATGAGCAGGAAACACAATTCCAACACGATATATACACAAGTCACCTTCGTGCCTATTGATATTGTCGTAACTACCTCGAGTTAGTGACATTGAGATATAGCAATCGCAACACGTTTTCATTAAATGATTAGGGTCGACGCTTACCTCAACACATAGCTTCGGTATGGTAACACCATTATTCCCATCTACAATACATGTACATAGAATCTCGCTGCTTCAAGTAAGTCAACACATAGCTTCGGTATGGTAATACCATTATTCCCATCCGCAATACACGTACATAGAATCTCGCTGCTTCGAGTACGAATAATCCCTAATGATGTGTAATTAGTGCCGCGCTCTCAAGAATCGCCGTTTAACTATCGTCTAAGGACGAAACCCGCGTGTTTTGAACTCGAGACTAGACGAACAATATCACAACACCAAACCCTTACGGTATTGTGCGAAAAAGCGCTGATGGGCAATCGAGACGGGAGATTTAGGAGCTTCACGAGCACACATGAAATGATGAGGATGATGTATAAGCAAACCAACCCACTCCAAAGATCAGTAAATGTTACGATACAGAAGCAACGCCAGCCATATTGTATACGAACAACAGGAAGCAACACTGTCCAAGCATAAACTGAGGTGGCACATGATGAAATGAATGAAAGGAACCATCGCGGGAGGGAATGACCACCAGAACCTAAATCTGATGCATGCTTCTGCATACGGTTAAACCGACAAGAAAGAGTAACTCAGCCTCTGCACATGCCTTTGTACCGAATGAATTCAGCTATGATCAGAGACCCGAGTTAATCGGTTGTCATCGTGAGCATTCTAACAACGGCTAGAACAAGTATGACATTCAAACAACGGCTAGAACAAGTGCAGTCACACAACAAAGTGAATGCGAGCTTTAAAGATTGCCTCGCGAAATAGCTTTTTCCCATTCAAGGACTGAGCAAAGCAAGATCACGATTAAACTTAAGAGAACATCATAAAATAGTTTGCAAGTATAACGAATAGTAAAGTTAGCATAGAAACTCAGATACTAGATGATGAACAGCCTCAGAATTAACCTTAATGTAGTTTTCAAGTATCAAACAGCCTGTCCATCAAGGCAGTTTGCTCAATGCTTCAATGTAGAAGGCAGTGGAGAAGGAGGAGAAGGAGAGCCAGCTACTCTCTTACCTATTCCAATGAATTTCGCATGATATAAGCCGCGTGCACGGCTGAGCTTGTTCGTAAGCATCCTAATCTAAGAACGGGAAAATAAAGTACAGCATACAAGAAAAATGTACCAAATCTAGCATGCGAAGCAATTGACCTACATACACACAGGACCATCTGGATGTACACAAATGGCAAAAAAAAATTTATACTAATGACAGGAAACAAAAACACTTCATAGTCGAATGAGATCATCGTGCCGAGAGGAGGGAGTTGGGGTGAATGTACAACCAAACAAGCACAAGTTTGCACGCATCAAAGATTTCTCCGTAATTGATGACATCCATCTATGCTGATGCACCAGAAAAGGGTCAATGTTAAACACCCAATTGTGATAGCTCGTTGCCTGACACCGGATCATATCATCTAATTAGTATGACACGAAGACGAAAGGCTTAGCGCTCTAACATGCAAGTGAATGCATGGGACTGAGAACAGCATATACATAATGCACTATGATATAGCTAACGTCCGAAGCAAAATTAATCACTGACGAATAATGACACAGTTTATTCCATATCATAAAAATCCTAGAAGAAACACAGTTTTGAACATTCGCAAAAAAGAATTATGCACATCTTCAATAAGTGAATCCAAAAAAACATCATCAAATTCCCAATTGTTTGAGAAACACCATGGAGCTAAACTCGGATAATCCAAGATATGGGAGAAAAAGTATGAAGGCATCCTTATATGCAAACAACCTAAATGCATGTTTTTTTGCGAAGATCAGACTCGATACATTGAATTGGGTAAACTATAAACAATGAATCACACCTCACTCACAATGATAAATTAATCTATTTGTGTAAAGCAGACTTCCAAATAGGACAGTTGAGGCACAAACAAAATGTCCTAAAAAAGGCAATGAGCTGACGTGTCTTTTTGTTTATCCACTCAATGTCCCCAAATGCATGAAAGACAGTATGGCCAGCATTCCATACATGTCACTTATATATGTCCATAACTTCAGAAAGAATAATTTAAAGACACCCCCACCACAAGCCATCGGAATCTCCGACAGCGAGCACACAATCTCAATATCAAGATTTCAGTTTAGTGGCTGATTCGTTGCATGAGGATCCAGCACATGCATGTCTTTTCTTCCACCTTTTTTTGTTTTTGCAATAAAGCAAATGTATCATAACATAGGGAATCAGGATGAAGGTGAGAGGAACCATCACGGCTTAACTCTAGTCCCGAAGTAAGTACTTTTTTGTGCATAGCAGGCAATGACATGATGCAACTTTGGGAGGATGAGCGGTGCCAATCCATCATCTAGTAAGCAATTCCTGAAATAGCGAAGAGTCACCATCCCACGCAGTGATATTATAACAGGTGACAATTTTCGGCAAGAATGATTCAAAGCGAAACTTTCCATAAAATCATGCAACATCAGTTTTCTTTAGGATGCAGAAACACGAGTGAAGCGGGTTGAAAAAGCATATGCAACTAATGTTCTTTACTTCGCAAGGGGAAAATCAAAAGTGATGTTGACATTACACCTCGCATGCTATGCATGATGAAAGTATAGGGCAATGACCTCGTATGTTGGCTTAGTAAGAAATTCCTGGATCAGTGAAGTAGGCAAACAACACAAAGTTCAACTTTCCAAACTACTAGTGCAAACAATTTCATAAGCCCGGTCTTTACGCACCTAAAGAGAAGTTTTAGGCCATGAATACTAAAGAAAAAAGGAACAGAAGAAGAAAGTCCAAGGGGATTAGGTCTGCAAATTCAACTTGTCATTAATATACCTCATGCAAGAACAAAATTGTCAACGCAATAGCACCAACCAAGGCAGGACCGTAGACAAAATGGCTGGAATCACAACTACAGCATATCTCTAGCTGGGGCAAAGTGAGAGAACTAAAATGGGAAAAGAAGCACAAAACAAGAGCAAACAATGACTAAACTGAGCATATAATATATATATATATATAGTAAATGTAAAGAACTCATAATTTTCATCTTTTACACTGTAGAATTTACCTTTGCCAAAGGAATCTCCTGTATGAAGAAAACAGATTAAAAAATGGCAATTCAACAATAGCAACAGTAGGGAAAAAAAGTCCAAGCAAAGGATCAATTATGACAAAAAGAATGCCAACAATGAGAATTTCCCTTCCCTTCAATAAATTACTAATATGTTTGTAGTTAGGTAAAGGAGCACAAAACTTGGATCTTCCACATTTTAATAGCTTATAAAGCAAATAAAACCATCATTACAGAGGGAACTTCCAGAGAAATAAGATCAGGTCGAGACGGTACTCAGATTTAAGGTGAAGCTAATGAAGATAGACATGTGTTAACAGGGAACAAGGTCTGTTATATAAGACCTAGTAACAAATCACTAGAACCCCAGGTTAGAGTTGATTAGCGATTAATAGGCGAACAATTACAACAATATTACAAATGTCATTCCATGAGTGGATGAATATAAAAACTAATCCTCAATTTAACCAGAAATGGCATTGTCTCAATTTATTGGGTTACCATAGCTTGAGCCTCCAAGCAATCCACCCCCGGAAGCAGCATAAACATCCGAAGGATCCATGATCGGAGACGATGATGACGCCCCGTTCCTATCTCCGCCTCCGCCGCCTAAATGCAGATCCGACAAGTTCAGAATGTCTTCTCTCCCCTCGACACCTCGGTCATACAAGACCCCTTTGAACACATGACCGCCGATCCTCACCACCGCCTGGTAAGCGTACTCGTCCTCCCCGTCGTCCACCGAGGTCACCCGCACGCACTTGAAGACCGCCGGCGCGCGCACGTGCCCCGGCAACGATTCTTTGAAGCTCGCATCTGCAACACACAAAAACCCTATTTCAAGAAAAAGCCACACACATCATGTGCCGCAACCCTAGCCACGCCCTCCGTGCTGACAAAAAAACGGGACCCATGTCGGTTTTCGCGGCATCCGGCGCGTGAATGTAAAGCCGTAGAGATTCAAAATTCCGAACCTTGGCGGCTCGAGCTCGTGTCGAAGCTCCTCGGGGGCGTGGTGTTGGAGGTCGAGGTGTGAGAAGTGGTGGTTGTCTGAGAGCCGACGAGCCTCGGCTTCTTTGCTCCGGAAGTGGACGCAGAACCGCCGGTCCCGCCAGCTGTGGCGGCGGTGGTCATGAGCTGCCGCTCCCGCCGCCTCGCGGCAGGCACCCACGTGCTCTTCACGTGGGTGGCGCAATCGAAACCCCGACTTTTGCAACAAGTCCTGCATCTCCGGTAGCTGCAGTCTTTCTTCGCCTGATTCCCGCAGTCTTGGCACGTTGCCGTGCTGCTAGAGCTCGCGCCGATCCCCCCGCCGCCGCCGCTTTGCATTAAATTACCGGAATTGCCATGATCGAGGATCGGAGCGGATTTCTTCAAGTAATGATGGGAAGATTGCTGGTTCTGCCACAGCTGGAATTCAGCCGCCGGGCCGGCTCTGCCGCTCCGTGCCGTCAAATTACCGCCGTTGCCCTCGGCTGCGTTCGGAGGAAGGCACGGGGCGGCAGTGAGGAGGGGGATGACTCCCACGCCGACGCCCATGCCGAGTGCAGTGGCGGCCGAGGCGCTGGAGCCGTTCGATGAGTCCGCGATGACGGTGTCGTGGTGGTGGTGGTGGTGGTGGTGGCTCGTGGGGTGGAAGGAGGTGGCCGGGGCGACGACGAAGACGTCGCGGAGACCGACCATGCCCATATCCGGCGGGAGGCTGTAGTTGACGGCGGAGCGGGAGGAGGAGGCGGGCCAGGCGGAGGCGCCTCCCGGGAGAGGGGCGGCATTGAAGCCGAGGGAGAGGTCGTCGGGGGCAGCGGCGCGGCCAGCGGCGGAGGAGGAGGCCACCCAGTCAGCGAATGCGCCGGACTCCGAGAGCAGCCTCCTCGTGGAAGAAGCCACAACTACGCACTGACTCAGTACTGCTGCTGCTGAAATTTTCTTTTCTCTCTTGCAGTTTCTTGTTCTTGTCTTCTTAGGATTCGAAAAATTGAATCTTTTTTCTTTTGTGGGTTCTTGAGGGAGAGAAAGAATAGTGGGGGAATGAGAGAAAATGGAAAGTTGGGTGAGAGAGGGAGAAGCTCAATCTAGGGATGCATCTATGTGGGTGTTATGTGTTGAGTGTGGGGTCTGTCTCTCTCTCTCTGTCTGAGATCGCATCAGACGCGCACAGAGAGATAAAGAGAAAGAGAGAGAGAGAGAGAAGGGTGCGTGCGAATTTAAAGAAAAAGGGACGAAGCGATCTTGATTGCTGTTTGGTGGTAAGAGAGAGAGAGAGTATGTTTTTGGGTTTGAGAACTGAGCAAAGAGTCTGTGGTGGGCTTCTTCTGATTTCTGTAGCAGCTGCTGCTGCTGCTGCTGCGACTGCTGAGACTACGCTACTACTACTCCTACTTCTGTCCGCGCTTTGGCTGTTTCTGCGAAAAGAGAAAGGGAGGGTTTCTTGATTTCTGCAGAGAGATAAGAGATAGAGATAGAGAGAGAGAGAGAGAGTTGTAGCAGAGAAGCTCTGAACAGTGCAATAATAACGACCCTTTCCTTTTTATCTCTCTCTTTTTGCTCTGCGAAAATTTCCCCCCACCTGTTTGTTCCTCGCTTCCCCCATCATCATCGCCACCTCCCTCCTCCTCCTTGATCTCCCTTCTTCTCTGAGCAATCTCCTTGTCCCTATCTGCTGCTGCTCTCTTCCCCTCCTCCTGCTATAACCCTTTGCTTTCCACCAGTGTCTCTCTCTCTCTCTCCTCTCCTCTCTTCTCTCTTCTCTCTTCGTATGGTTTCCTAGAAAGGGGGCCGAGGTGGGTTCCTCTCTACCTCTCACACTCCCCACTCACTCACTCTCTCTCTCTCTCCAATTATCACCCCAACAAATATTGGCAAAGAGGGAGAGAGCCATGGGTATAAAGACTTGTTCTCTAGCTTCTTCTTCCTTTTTGTTTTTGTGATTTTGTAGGGAGAGTTCTATAAAGTCACATGACACCTTTCTTTCATTTTTTTCTTTTTTGGGTTTGGCCAGCTTCTTCATGGCTGCACTCCAATGTATAATATAATATTTAATTTTGATTTTACTTGTGAATATTTTAGAATTTATTTTCCCTACCCACCAATTGGGTCAGAGAAAAACGACCAAGGTTACACCATGGATGACCATGGTGTAATAACTACGAACCATTCGGATTGAATCATAACTATTCGATGTTTTTATATTTATAAAAATCGATCGTCACGCCATTCCAAAATTAAAATTTTTTTCGAGAACTAAATATTCAATCAATAGAAAAAGTCCATTTTTCGGCACAGGATTCACACCCTACCATGACAAGTGATTTGAACTCGTGGAATATAAGTATCCTACCGTTATGTCACAATCGCCAGTGATTTGAACTCCCTACGGAGATATAGTCAAATTGGCAATGTCTATGTTGCTAACAGGCGATGAGATATGTACATTACCAACAGAATCATAGCCTTTACTAAATCGATCAACAAAAAATGAAGGAGGCGACAACTGAAAGATCTTAGAAGTCCTTGAGCTAGTCCCTTTCTGATCTTGCCATCAAACTCGCGCAATGATTCACTTCTCCATACCTATATTAAAGTCCCATAATCCTAGAGCACAGCAATGTGCAATCGATAATAACATTTGTTGGCATATGGTTCAAATTTCAAGGCACGAGGATCCCGTTCCCTGGTGAGCTGGCGAGAGTCCAAGGGGGCTGCCCCAGCGGGAGTCGTAGAGGCAGCGCTCCCAAGTCGCCAGATGGCTTTTGTAGTTTGAGCTTATACTTTATTGGTAGTGTCGGTTTGGATCCATGAATAACTACTACTTATATATAATTTCTTTCTCTTGCAATTGAGAGTCGTAACAAGAGGTGGGAAGTGTTAATTTCCACTTACAGGATGTAACCCTAATTTAATAGCGAATCGGGATAAAATCTTACGTCTCGATTTCTCTTCCTCATATTTACTATTTATTCCATTGTATTTGTGCACCTAATCCTAACACATTCGATAAGTATGGTCTATCATAAAGAGACTTCCATTACCTTACAAAGCATCATTGAATCACTTTTTGAACTTAGTCATTGAATTCGCCCATCCACATCCATCCGAAGCTTTTCCCTAAAGGCCCAAAGTTCAGCAAGCACAATAGATGAATGAAAAAAGAGGGTACCATGGATAGTGCACTTACCGCATACCATTTGTATTATCGGTGTCGTTACTAAATCTTTCGTAGGTTTTCAAATTTTCTAGTCGTTAATGGTCGTTGCATTATACATATGGGTATGGCTCAAGCTTTTCGTTAGTTTGCATGTAGGTGACATACACGATAGATTCTCGTGGAATGAACTCGCAAATGCTTGTCTATTTGGTCCCATTCAATAGGGTTTTTTTTTTTTAATGGGAGGCGCGTGGAAAAACATCCCTAGTTGCATTTTTTTTTTTGGGGGTTGGGGACCAAGTAAACGAAGGATCGCCCACCGCGATTGGTCTTTGAAGCACACGCGCAATTAGCGCATGATTATGCTCGACATCACATGTTGCTCTGTTTGGGATTTCGGAAGTAGGATATCCCACATGCCCATATCACCAACTGCTAATGTCTCTTGCATTTGGATCTTGTCTGAATCAAATGGGAGAAGATTGGTCACACTTACTCGTCCCTTTTACGATCTGTTTCTTTATTAGCACCTTGTATCCATGGCTCGATCAATTGGCTTCTTAGAATAACAATTTGCAAAGTGTGTCTTGGGTTTAACTTGCAACATCAGTCGGGATTCGATTTCGATCGAACGACGAACGTTCTAAATGTAACCGAAGAACGCACGCGTATAGCTCGGAATAGGTTATAGCTCGTATCCTTTCGTGACTTCTCGTGGTACTATCTTCAGTGTCACGATAAATTCCAAAAACCGTATATGAGGCTTTTAAAGATCATATTAACTTATTGAGGCATCCAGGCGAGTGGCGCGCGGGATAAAAAAGGCTTGTTGATTCAATTGTTATTAAGTAGGAGAGTACAATTGTACTATTGGGTTTTGATTAGTTGGTTAAACATCGAAATTGCATGGCACTATTGTGGCAGGAGTTGAGCATTATTTTTAGTGAACTTCTTTAAGGGCTAACACCACAAAAAACCCTAAATTATATCCAACGTAACACAAATGCCCTAAACTTTATTTGTGTCACTAAAAATCTTAAACTTATCCATTGTAACACAAATACCTTAAACTTTTTTTATGTCATAAAAAATCCCGAACTCATACTAAAGGGTATTATATGCCACACATGTTTGAGTTTTGGGTTTTTTCATGACAAAAAAAGAAATTCGGGATATTTATATCATAGTGGGCAACTTTAGGGCATTTGGTATTTGTTAATTTGAGATTTTTTGTGGTATTTGTCCTTTCTTTAATTAAGTTCATGTATAGGTGATGGGGGAAATTATGATATAGCGCCAAATCACCGAATAGTAAGGTTAATACTTCGGAAAAAGAAAAATAGACTAACCTAATCCTTTTTCTTACATTTCAAGATTGGACATGGCAATAATTTGTTGTTCTTGATAAAATATTTGAAATTTAAGCCAACCACTTATCTAATTGTTTAAACTTTTACGGCTGGTTGTAACATAATTTTATGATTTTGCTAGTACAATTGCTTTTTCTTTTCTTTTCTTTTCTCTTTGTTGGGGTAATATTTTGACATTATTACAATTAGAAGACCCTAACTAAAATCCAATGCTCGCCACCCATCCTAATTCAAATGTGGGGTGCGTCTTTTCAACCCATCGCTTTCACAATTTTTAGGTCTAACTCGACCCAAATTATCATATCGCAAAATAAATCAACTTCAACTAATAGCTTTGATTTTTTTTAATTTAGTTTAGGCGATCGACATATGTTGACGTAGGTAACAAAAAAATCGACGACACTAAACACATTTTTTTAAATATTTCTATCACATGGTGTCCCAAACCTACACGTAGAGCAATTAATTGAAGATACTAACTTTGACCTATTTCCCAAAAAATATCTCAACTTCATGTACAATCCCAATTCGACCGCAAACTTGATTTTATCCAAACAAAATCCTCAATTTTTACTCTAGTCCCAAATTTATCCACGCATCCAAAAATCATCACCAGTTTCTTCGAGTTTAACAACATCGGGAGGCTGTAAGGGTGTTGATAATGATAATGAACCTGTAACCGGTCCTAATGTTGGTAATTTTGACGAAAGTAGTGGCTATTTTTAGATTAGAGTGAAAGTTGAGAATTTTTTTGGGCAAAAAAAAGTTCGGGGCAGTAGTGAAATTAGACCAAAAATTGAGGGGTTTTCAGGAAGTTAGGCCTACTAACTTCACCATGTTTTGTACTCCTTAGCCATCTCTTCTAAGGCCATGATGTTGTGCGTGTCATTTGCTGATGTGAGAGCACGTATATATACGCTTTTTAGACGCTAGGATTTCAGCCCCGTCACCGCATGTGCGACCACGTGAAAAATCATCTTGGAGTTCAATTCATAAACTTCATGGCTCAACATCCACTCGCATCAACAATGATCACAGGGGCCACGATACGCCGTAACCGAAAACGGGGCTGAAAAGTCAAGCTCGAATCATGTCGCAGCATTGGAGAAAATCGAGTGTGTGGGGCGCACCTGATGTTTTGCTAATCGAACGTGATGAAGATCACACTACAACCATGCGTATTCTGGGGTTTTTTTCTTAACACTGTTCTCGCTAGTGAACAAGCACTCAACCACGTTCTTTTTCCTAATGTATTGATTTCGCCGGGCCACACGGGCAAAAGTGTTGCTTTAGGAAACTAGGGTTTCGGGTGCCGTAGCCATAAAGCCTGGTGTAGACATGCATCCATTCTAATTTTCTAAAGCTAGCTTTTAGCATGGAGCAAGGGACGCATTCCATAGGTTTTGTTTTTGAATGTTTGTTTTGTACCCTTTTTTAATTTAATGACACAAAGAGGGAGCAAAAAGAGACCATGAGGGGTCATCTCCTTTGGCCTTTTGGGTCCACATAAACTAAACTACCCAAAGAGAAGTCATTTTGAACGTGGTAAAGTCTCTTTTTCAAGATCAAAGCGAACCATCTCTCTCAAACGTTACTGTATATCTTTAGTCGTTTTGTCCCTCATGTCGTCCACATTATAGGTTAAGTCATACTTAATGCACATGAATACAATGACCTATATGTACCTATATGTATGTTTATGGGGATCGGTCGCGGCGAGGGCTTTGCGGCCATCACGAGGTTTGGGCGAGGGCTGCGACCGGCGAGGGTTTTGCGGCCCTCGCCTGTGGTCGACGTCACCGTCAGCTGTCTTACGTGGCACTACTGGCATCCGTGTTAGATATTTCCGGTCAAAATTGGCCGGATAGACTCAATTAGCAAAACGTGAAAATGGTTAAGGCTCAATTGGCAAAATTGAAAGATTTATGACTAAATTGGTAAAAGTGCAATACGTTAATGACTTTTTTGGATAATTTTTCCTCAAATCGGCAATATTATAGATTGTAGCGCGAGACAAGGATCATAGGCATGTGCATGCCTGCTCACACACATACAAACACGCAACTTAGAGAATAACACAAGATTGGTGAAGACATGCAAGATTGCGGGGGGTGTTCCTTTCTTTTTAATCATGGATCGAAAAAAGCACGTATGGCACAAGTCTCGATTTTGCAATTAATTGGCTCCAATGATCTTGTTGGGGGGCTAAGCAAAAGATTTAAGAGTTCTTTACATGGAATGGGGCAAAGGATGAAAGTTGCTTTTATCTAATGATGAATTGTCTAGCGATTCCCCCTTTTGATCAGCATTATTGCAAGCACGCGGAATCAAATTTCGTGGAGCGTCTTTAGGGAAGAAAAGGG